TGTGGATGGGGGTGCAAAGGAGACTCTACTTATTTGGATTCCTGCACCATCGCCCCTTCTCGGTTTGCAGAGTTGTCAGGTAGAACACCTTCATGTGCCCCCAGAGGAGGTGGTGTGAGTGTGGGAGTGAGTGTGGGAGTGTGTGAGTGTGTGAGTGTGAGTGTGTGTGTGTGTGTGTGTGTGTGACTTACTGTTGCGAGAAATGAGCAAATGGGGCCTCCCATCAATAAAAATGTAACATAATAATCCAAAGTGGTCCCAGCCACCGGGACAAGCAGGTTAGACACACAGGAGCAGGCTCGGGGACAATCAAATTTAATAAATATGAATTTTATATCAGCGAGTTTCTGCCGCCAGCTCATTAAACGGGAGTAATAAGCACGGGCTGAGTACCCTCTCTACAGGCTGCAGCCGGGAGGCGGGTGGATCAGGAACCAGACAAGGGCCTCGCTGGGGAAACCGCTCGGGCAACAAGAGGACATTCATCAGAGCTGCCGAGGAGGGCCCAGGACACCCCACTCCGCACATACCGCAGCCCAACGAGGAGAACGTGGAGGAGGAGTACAGAACGTTAAGCATTGACAGCAGGGTGATTTGTCAGTGGTCCCGGTGAGAAGACGGGGCTCCTGCTCATCCCCTGGTTCCCCTTTCCCTTCCCACCTCAGCATAGTTGGTGCAGACAGGTGTACGACTGCACAGCCCCAGGGGTACTGTTCCCAGGTGTCTACCTGAAGGTGACTGTTGATGCTGTGCAGTGCACAATCCCTGCAGCTGCACATGGTGGGCTGGTTCCTGTATTTCCATGTCTCAATTATCCTTCCAAGTAAAGGGCGAGTGTCAAAGCCTTGCACAAGCTTCTCCCAACCCTACTTCCTCTGAACTGCCTTAAATCTTTGCCGGGTCAGTTCTGGGGCATCTGGCATTCCCCCAGGGAGTTCTTCCCTGAGGGCCCTCCCCCTCTGCACCGGACTGCCTTGCCTCTTGTTATTCTCTCCCCCAGCATGGTGCTCTTTCCTTCATGGCATTTATCCCAATTTGTAATTAAATATTTATCTGGTGATTATTATTTCATGTCCTTTTCTGCAGCTGGGCTGTAACCTCCTTAAGAACAAGGACCAAGCCTTGGTTTGTTTATCACTGGAGCCTCACTCGCAGTGCATAGTAGGTGCTCCTGAATGATAGACAAATGACAGTAAGTGCCCATCTGTAAATCTGTTTACTACTCTTCAGGGTAAGAGAGGGCAGGGACAGCCCACCCCCCACTCCCTCAATACTGGTAAAGACTCAGCACATAGTAGGTGCTTAGTGAATGTTTCCTTGAACAATAAACATGATCCGTTCCCATGATCAGCTGGGGCAAATTTAGTCACTGAGGCTGTGTCGTCACCGTTTCTGCTGGTCCTCTGTCTGTCTCCAGCGTTTGTCTGAGACATTTGAGCACATGGTGGACATGGCTGCCCGCACCCTTTCCTGAGCTGGGCTCTGACCTCAGGGGTCGTTTCCCCGCTCAGGGGTTCAGCGGCTATGGCCCAGGTCCACTCCTGCCTGCTGCTTGTGTGGTAAATGCTTTTCTTCACATAAGGCCAGGCCCAGGGCTGGGCATGCAGCTTAGAGGTCCAGAGGAGCAAGACTGGGGTTCCATCCCAGCACTGCCCAAACCCACGTGGCTAAGCCCCACTGGTGACCTGTGATCCGTGGCCACTTTTGTGCTACAGTGACACAGAGGGGCAGCTGGGACGTTTCACTTCTCTGAGCCCCAGTTTTCTTGTTCATCAAAGGGCTCATCACACCTGCTTCAGAAGGGTCTGTCTTACATACAGTAGGCGTCCAGCAAATGCTCGTTTTACAATAAATTGAAAATCTCAGACAGCTGGTAGGATTTCCAGAGTTCCCAGCACAGAGAAATGACAGGTGTCTGAGTGAGTGGTCCGGCCATGACCCTGGTCTGGTCATTCCACGTTACCTCCGCGGATGGAAACGCCCGGATTCCATAAACATTAGCGGAATTCCAGTCCCTCTTCCTGAACCTCCGCGGGGTCCCTGAGCTCGCCCCCTCGTCGGACCAACGTTTATCGAGTGTCTTCTAGGAGCTAAGCGTTTTGTTGGGTCCCCAGGAGTCCGGGGTGGACAGGCTGGCTCTTGGGTCTCCTGGGCTGCAGGTGGACACTCCCCAGACCCAGTGTGATAAGTGGCAGGAGAGTGGGGAGTTGGGGGACCATAGGAGCCCGGAGGGGGGCGGCAGCTCGCCTGGCCTCTGCAGGCCACAGGCCATTGTGGAAGAAGTGAGTTCAGCTGGGGGACAGGAAGCCAGGCTGGGGGAGCCGGGGACCTCTCAGGAGGCCTGGACCTGTCCTGTCTGCACTTCACGGGGGGAGCCAGAGGCCCAGCAGGAAAGCAAGGGGTGACCTTGAGGGACCTTGAGAGGCCTCTCGCTCCAGTCCCTCCCCAGGACCGGGGGTGCCGAGTGCCAGGGCATCTGGGCCTGGTGCTGTGAGAGGAGAGGTGGCCCTGTGGCCCCTGGGAGGAGCCATGGTGGACAGGCCCTTCTAACGGTGCCTGCAGGGTCATCCACGCCAAGTCTGCAGGGCCCTGGGAGCTTACCTGGGGACGGCCAGGGGATTAGCACTGGGTGCAAGGTGACCCCCAGCTTGTCCAAGGTGGTTAGACCAGGAATCTAGAGATGTGCCTTTTAATATTGACAGCCACCTTGTACCCGTGCCCGGGGACCTAGGGAGAAAAGTGCCGGGGTCCCGGGGAGCTGGACGCCCATCCAGGGGGGCTGAGGCCCTGACTGGCCTCTTTCAAAACCCAGGTGCAGATGAAAAACTGGCCAAGAGTGGGAGCTGCGAGCTCTGGGCCTCTGACCGAGGGGATGAAAATGACCTTCATAAATGCAAAATGATGACGGATTTGAAAATATGATTCTCACAAATGAAGCAGGGCTCTTTAAAGAGCTGCCTTGGCCTTTCTGCATCAGGGTGTGCCAGGCACCAGGGAGGGACGCCTGGGCTGTGGGTCTCTGGATCAGTGTACCTTCAGGGCCCTATGGTTAGGATGGAGACGACTGGGCAGGAATCTGCATTTTAGCACACACCCACTGTTTGATTCTGCTCTGGGTGAATTTGGGATCCCCTGTG